CATTCTTTTCTATCAGCACCGACCTTGGAGAATGGTGTCGATGCATTTAAGCCCAGATAAAATGTTCAGCAGCACTCGTGCCCCCTAAGCCACAACTCTTCTGACACTTGGGTCAGAAATAGCATGTCAGAGAGGGGGGATCTGACCTGCCTGACCACCTACGGAGCTGCCGCATCTTCCAGGGAAGCGACCTCAGGCATCAGCTGAGCTATGGAAACCGTCCATGCGTGCGCTCCCACCCCTGATGAATGGGAGTTAAAGTGCCACTGCTTGAATTACCTCTGTTGGGGTGGAGCCATCCTGGAGGCTGACTGTCTCTCTGAACCCCAGCGTTGTAGGGATAAAGCAAGGGTAATATTTTATCGTAAGAACTCACTTTCTGACTCAACATAAGGTATTCTGTGTCTGCTTTGCTCCTAGGAGGCAAGTGTTTCCTGGAGTAGACTCTCTTTCTTCTTTTGACATCTTTAGCAAGAGCTTCTTTAACATACCATGTCCATCTGAAACCAGTATAAAGCTTTTCTTTTTTCCTTCCCTTCACTTTTCCCCTTTGCCTTCCCTTTTTTCACTCATGAAATGGCCATCATGTATCTTTTTCAACATAGTCACCAGGATAGAGTTTTGGAGTTGCCTCTTTGCTGAAGTCAACCAAAAACCTCGAAAAGCAGCTCCAAGCCAGCCGTTGTCCCGAGTCACTGACATCTTACTGCAGCGGGTTAATTATCACTTAAAATGTTTATCCTGTTATTGTTTGCATTTCCAAAGCATTTCAGCTGCTGTAAGACCCTAAATCACTCCCTTCCCTCTTGCACAGAGGTATTTTCTCAGTTCAGCAGTGTCCCTGCGCAGAACGGGAGGTGGGCTGGGGGCAATGGCAGCCCTGCACCAGGTGGAAACAATTATGGGGAAAAAAACATGGTCCTCACTGGATGAGTTACTGCTGATAGCTGCCAGATAAGCTAACTTAATAAAGTGGTGGCTTAATTAAGCCACATTCCTTGCATCTTGCCTTTCGTCCTGCCTGTCTGGGGCGATGCTATCATGCAGCTACTGCTTTGCAAGGTGGGGTGGGGGTTGCTGTGCTGGGGGACCGCTGTGGGGTGGGAGCAGGTGATGTGACATGGGAGGCCTCCCAGAACACTCAGCTCCCCTCTCAATCTGCAAGGTGGTGGGCCACAAAAGCCTGCAACAAAGGCAGATCCACTGCTTGCCTGGTCATAGATGTGTTTATTGGTATCAGAGGTTTGACCCTAAGTCCCATCTTCTGACATTCAGTGGTCCAAGAGCAACTTGGCCTCTGGAGAAGAGAGGAATAGCTCAACATCTCCCTGCTTCCCCTGCACTGCTTGCCTGGTCATAGATGTGTTTATTGGTATCAGAGGTTTGACCCTAAGTCCCATCTTCTGATATTCAGTGGTCCAGGAGCAACTTTTGGCCTCTGGAGCAGAGGGGAGTAGCTCAACATCTCCCTGCTTCTCCTGCAGCTACCTGTCAGAAAAAAAAAAGGGTGACTTTGCTTTGAGAGAGTCCTGTGATCACTGTGGATTTTCTTACAGGTAACACAAAAGTTAGACATTGCAGTCATCAAAATCACAGCGCCCAAAACCCTCTGTGAATTTGGGCTTCTGCATGCTCATGAGTGAAGATCGCATGAGAATCAGAAGTTGCTGATATATTTTTAATAGTTCAAGCACCCCATTAAAAGCTGTAAGAAAAACATCTGCCAGAAGTTTCTCCTTTTGGAAACCGGATTTAAAATGTAACGAATCAACTTTACTTCCCTGTGGATCCAGGTTTAAGTGGCTGAACTTATTACGGAGCCATGTATTAGTTGGTGTTCGATGCGTGCTCACATGTACAGCCGCGTAGCAACCGCCTTGCTGAAAGTTATTCAATAGCTAAAATTATCAGCGGGGACCCCCTCTTATCTCTCACTATGTATAACGAGATCGCTGCTGTGCAACGTTGATTAGACATGTCAACCTGGAGCTGGATGTCTGAAAATGAGTATTGCTATTAAAATGCCTTTGCTAATGATCAACTCATGTGTCCATCATTTTGACAGATTTCTCTTTAGGAATGTAGAGAGCTAAAGCATGCAGGGATCCCAGGGTTGCGATGCAATGTTCAGAGAAACGGGTATTGTCGTATCGTATTTCCTGTGCATTAACCCTAAAGTAGCAGTTTCCCTGGCAAAATCTTGCTGAAGCTTGCTGTTGAGTACAGGCTACACTAATACAGAGATCTGTAATCTTGAATTGGGAACCGATTGTCAAGGGGAATTGGTTTCTGGAGGGTAAAACTGAAAGCAAGGCATCCATCCTCCGAACCACTTCTTTTTGGTGTGACTTAGTGCTTTCATGATGGGAAAATTCATCAAAAATTAAAGGGGAGACTGAAAACAAGGAAGTATTTTCTCAAAAACATCACATCCCCCTGTGGAACTCATTGTTGCAAGGTGCCTTTGAAGCTACGGATTTCAGGAGGGGCTTGGATATCTGCCAGGGCTTTAACTGGAGCAACCCCCAGCAAGGTTCCCTAGGGCTGTCCTTGCTTCAGGGTGCCAGGGCAGAGTTTAATGGACATAACTCAGTGTGTGGCTGTGGTAAAGGTGTTTGACAAGTGGTTTGGCTATTAGGACAATCCAGGAAGGCAGATAAAACCACAGTTTTGCCACAGGAAAGCCAACAAGTCAGCCAAAAGCCATGACTGACCAAGTTGAGAGGAGAGAGGCAGCTCCTGCAATGTTCCCAGCAGGTGAGCAGGCTGTGCTGGCTGAGGTTCGCATCTGCTGCCACAAGCTGCTCCAAGGGTGGCAGTCAGGTGGGAATTCCCAGGGAGAAGGGCAGAAATGATGAAAGCTGCTGGTCCCTCTCTGGTTAATTCTGGTTGGCACAACCCCGCAGGTCAGCATCCCATGGCAGGGGTGCCCCCCTCTCCTTTCCCATCTCCTAGCACTCTCTCAAGCTGGGCCGTGTCTTCTTCTGAAGAGCAGCTAGAAACAAGCCTTTATCAGCCTCCCTTCTTCCACAGACAGGAGGAGATGAATGTGCACTTGGAAAGCCATCAGCAGGGCTTGCAGCATATGAGCAGCCTGCCCGATGCACCTTTGAACTCATTCCTCCTGCATTTGTTTGTCTTGCAGATAAAACTTCACAGCACTGTTTGGAGAAAAGTCTAATGAGGGACCACTGTTTGCATAACAAAGCAAGGCTTCCTCTTCAGATGTTCAACCTTCATTAAGCATAATTTATATTCCAGCTAATCTTTGGAAGAGGGTAAAATATGGAGCCAAAGTTTGTTTTTATATAGTTTGGAGTAATGCATTGTTTGTTTTAAGTGGTCAGTTGCAATTGATAGTTGATTTAAATTCAACATAATGATGATTTGTGGTGGCTGTGTGTTGTCTAGGGGCGTGTTGTGTCATTAACTGCCATGGCTTTAGCACTCTTCTGCGTCAGTTATTGAATTAAAGGATAAGACCAAATGGATGGTTTCCCAGTTTTGCAGATATTTCAGCATATCCACAAGGCATGAAAAAATGCAAATTTGTAAAATATAGGGGTTTTTTTCCCCTCAGACTCATGTAAACTTGGTAAAATAGTGCACTGAACAGCAGTTTGCTTCTCTTGTGGCAGTACTGGTAGCCACAACCCTGGGATCCCTCAAAGGTCACCAGGTCCCTACAGTGAGTAGCTCTGAGGGTGATATGGGACACAGCCATTTGTAGAGGCTCCTCAGCACTGCTGGGAGTCCTGGTGACATGCTGTGATTTGCTGCCTAGAAAACAAACAAACAGGTATAGATTAATGTCTAAATGTCATTACAGGCCAGTGTGTAAGAAACATTAATTTCTCAGCACTCAGACTTTGTTTGTATCATAGGCACATAAAAAGTGTCTGATCCTATTGTCTCTTCTCAGCAACTTTATCCCCCTGCCTGTATAAGATACTCTCCCTTGCTCCAGTTGAAATACTCAATATGTCACTTACCACTTTCTGGGTTTATTAAAAGATGATAAATGATTGATAACATTTATCTTGCATGTACACCTCACTGAGACTCACCCCTTTCTGCAAGTTTACCGTGTAATATCAGATGTTTGAAAACACCCTTCACCATATCATGAAAATTATGACCCGAGTTATGTGTATGGACACCACCAAGGTGTGCTGAATCCTTTCAGTATTGCAGAATCACCGAATCACATGGGGTTGGAAGGGACCTCTGGAGATCATCTAGTCCAACCCACCTGCCAAAGCAGGTCCACCCAGAGTAGGTTGCACAGAAATGTGTCCAGGAGGGTTTGGAATGTCTCCAGAGAAGGAGACTTCACCACCTCTCTGGGCAGCCTCTTCCAGGGCTCTGCCACTCTCACAGGAAAGAAGTTCCTCCTCATGTTGAGATGGAACTTCCCCTGTTCCAGTTTGTGCCTGTTTCCTCTTGTCCTGTCACTGGGCACCACTGAAAAAGGACTGGCCCCATCCTCCTGACACCCACCCTTGAAGTTTTTATAGGTGTTGATCAGATCCCCCCTCAGCCTTCTCTTCTCCAGACTAAAAAGACCCACCCTCTTCCTGATGCCCCCCAGGATGCCCTTGGCCTTCTTGGCCACCAGGCCTATTGCTGGCTCCTGGGCATCCTGTTGTCCACCAGGACTCCCAGGTCTTTCTCCTCAGAGCTGCAAGGTCAGCTGCTCCTCAGCTCAAGGGAGCAGGGTTTTCAGAAATGACTCGTGATGTTGCGTGGGTCAGCGTTGGGGTACCCAGCCCGGCTTCTCAGCTGGCTGGCCATGCTGTCATTTAAAATGCCTCAAGGATGGAGTGGTGAATTTCCGTGTTGCGTTCTTTAATGCTAAGATATTTCAAACTGCAAAGCTCAGGGTTCTCATCTTGTTTGGTTCACCACATCCATGATCTACCCATGACTGTTTTTAAAAGCAGCACCAACCTTCAGAGAACATATTTATTTATTAATTTATTTATTTTATTGTTTTTCAGGAAAAAATGCTGTAAGGGTTATAAGTTTGTTCTTGGACAGTGCATCCCTGAAGGTATGTGATTTCACTGTTCTTATCCCTCATGTCCCTGTGCTTTTGTCTTTCCCTGTTTGCCCTGTTCTCTGCATTGCTGATTTGGAAAAGCATCCTGACATAACCACAGGCTTGGCCGTATCTCATGTGTCCGTGGGGTGAACTGTTTCCAAGAAATTGTTGGGAAAATAAAAAGATCAGCGTCTTCCAAAAGTTTCACTTAGCACGCCAAGCCTCGATCGTCCCCTAAGTAGCTGCATAGATCTTGTACCATCACCTGCTGCAAACAGAGCGACGCATTCATAGAATCACATAATGGTTCAGGTTGGAAAGGACCTTAAAGATCATCAGGTTCCACCCCCCTGCCATGGGCAGGGACATCTCCCACTAGACCAGATTGCTCAAAGCCCCACTCAGCCTGGTCTTGAGCACTTCCAGGGATGGGGTATCTTGCCTAGATACGTAGGAGGTCTCCGTGCATCCAGGAGCACACCCTTCCTGGCTGGTGTCTTAGACCATGTACCCCTTGCATCTGGCACAGCCAATTTGGCTTGTAAGTGCACAGGGAGCGGGTGACTTGTGAGTTAGTCCTGCCTTTAGTTACCTATTTCCCAAAGACATCCGTGAGGGGAGAGCATCACCAAACGGCATCTCTCATCATCGCCTCTCCTCGTTGTGGGCATGGCTTCCTTGTCACCAGGGGCAGAGGGAGACAGGGAATTACTTGGGGTGGTTCACACACTAGTGGAAAGGGACAGATACACTTCACAAAGGCAGTACTGGGGTCCCAGTTCTCAGAGGTTGCTGCAATGAGGTCTCACCTGGGAAAAGGGTGACCTCTGGCTGCCTTAATCCAGGGGGAGGCCTCTGCTGAGTCTACCCAGCCCATGGCTGCACTGAGCAGTAGCAATGTGACTTTTCCAATCACTCTCACTGCTTTGCCCGATTCAGATAAAACTGGCCCTGAAGTTATAGAAGAGGAACTGCCAGGCAGAAGCAAATGGCCAGAGGTGAAAAGCCAATAAACCTTGTTTGATCCAAAAAGCAGGTTTAAAAATCGGTTTACGGTAACACATCCTTCTATTTGATGACATATGGAAAGCCTCAAGCTGACCTGAGAGTCTTCCCAGTTTGGGAGGGTGATGTTTTGAAAAGAAAAGTGACAAATTAACATACTGGAGAGAGTCAGCTGGTTTTTGAGTTACGGTCTCCAGCCAGCAGGGATTATAACCCCAACTCTGGTCCTGCTGCTCTTTTTTAAGTTGTATCTATGCTGCTGGCTGAAAACACTAGAACACTAGTTGATAAATAAATAAATGATCGAAAAAAACCCCACGTCTTCTCGAAATGGGAATAGTGCGTTTCATGTCAGTTCGAGCCCCAGGGAGCTGGGTAGGGTTTGGGTGAAATCGATGCTCGCAAAGTGTTCCTCGTTCTGTGGTTTTGCAAAAAGTTTTTTCTTGGTGTGTGTGGCATGAGATCACAGCTCCAGAGCAAGACGGGCACTTGGAAGAGGCGGTTGTGCTGTATGCTACCAGGCAGTTGTGTGTGTGGGAGGCAGAAGCCCTGAATCCTTTCAGGGTGGAAAGAAGCCAGGACTCTACAGTCTGGCCTCCAGCTTTCCTATGGATTTTGACAATTTTATATGCTGATTATTCACTAAATATAATGGATACAGCAGAAGAAGTAAAAGGACCAAAAATAAAATGAGAACTATGACAATATATATTATTTTAGGCTTCTAATTTTAATCTGATGAAGTTTTAGGTGATTATGAAAGCAGCTTTTTTATTATGTACCCTGACTTCACTTAATCCTGTCTGTTAACTGCATCTCAGTAACCTGAGAGTTTCTGACGCTAATTGAATTTCTCTGCTGGCTGTGGCTTCTCTCCCTTTGTGTCTCCATTCCCCCTTTTTCAGCTTGATCTGTATTTCCCCTTGAACTTCAGAGACCACAGCAATTGCTATAACATCTGAGATGATCTTGGGCCATTGGTGTAGGGATGAGAAACATGATTCAGTGAAGCACTCATTTCACTTACTCTGTTACAAGACATCACTTGGCTCTTCACACATTGTTTTGGCATAATCTTGACAGAGTAGCTGTATGAAATGCATATCTCGGCACAGGCGCATAAATACATTACAGATGTGAGCTTATTAGAGCACATCTGCACCTTTTAATCCAGTGCTGGCAAGTCAAAGCCATGAGAAGTAGTTCCAGCCCTGTCTTCCCTGTGATTTAGCAGGGGCTGCAGGGAGAAGGGTTGGGAGAGGGGTAGACCCTTCCTTATCCACCCTCTTACTGGTGCCTCGGGAAGACACCGATCTTCTTCTTGGACATCTGTTATTTAAGCAGACTCTTTCCCAAAGGGTAGCATCTTTGTCCAGGTCCATCTTTGGTTTCTGTCCTGTTATTTCTTGTCTGCCCTTGAAAAGCAACAGAAATCAGTCCAGTCCACTATGAGTCCATGCCCCCAGCTTCTGCATTTCATTGTGGACTCACCTTCTTGTTCTGGATTTCAGTTGCAGGAGCTGAGAGCAATGATCCTCAGAAAAGAGCAAGAGGAGTTTGCTTTGCATGTCTGATTCTCCCTGTAGCATCTCTTTCTGCTTAATCTTTGACCTAGGAAGCAAGTCAAAAAAGAGCTTCTCACTCTTTTCTCCTGAACGGTCTCCTTCTTCTTTGCTTTCAAGACTCACAGCTCCAACCAGATCCTGTCTCATGGCATCACCAAGAGCAAAGCAGAGACAGATGTAGTCTGAAACAGCTGCTTTTGGAGAACACCTTCCCTACCACTAGTTTGTTACTTGAGTTTCTTAGCTGAGGATTAACTCAGAGCAAAATACTCTATGTCAGGCAAACACTAATGAGATCTGCTCTTTCCTCAGTAATGCTATTTCAGAAATTTCCTTGGTACAGCTTTACATGCTGTATTGTCATTCCTGAGTTCACTGAAATGTATGTAGAGACGTTCATTTTTCTGCTGCACATTTTTTGTATTTTCCTGAAGTCTGGAACAGCCTGATCCTCACCATATGGCTTTGAATTGTCCTCAAACCACATTTCTTAGGCTGGGCTGGCAGACAAGGGGCTTGAACAGGCAAGGGCATGAGCTTCCTTGGTTCTGCAGAGCATGTGGAGGTGGTGCAGCAGCTTCTGCCCAATTTCATCCCAGTTATGAGGACTGTTCCTGAGGGAGTCATGCTACCTGGCGCCCTGAGGCGCCAAAGCCCCGAGGATGGACAGCTCTGTGATGTGGCATCTGCCCACAGCCATTGTGTGATTTGGGTCAACTGTGTGGGAACCACTAGCAAGGAGATTTCCTCCTCCTGGACCCTTTCCTAGCTCTCTATGAAAGTAAACAAAGCAATAGTCTTGATGGAGCTCTGCTAAGGTGGGTGTTAAAACCCTATTTAAAGACTAATTATATGAAATATGGCGAAAGAGAGACAATTAAAAAGCACTAGTGTTGTTTAGTCTAGAAAAAAGGAGGCTGAGGGGAGAAGTGATAACAGTTTTTAGGTATGTGAAAACTTGCTGCAAGTGGGGAAGCAAACTGTTCTTCATGGCCAAGAGGAAGAGGACAAAAATAATGGGCTTAAATGGCTATAAAGGGAGTTTGGATTAGATATGAGTAAAAAGCTTTTTATCTGCAAGAATTTTTAATCACAGGACTAGACTGCATGGTGGGGCATCTCCATCACTCAGGGATTTCTAGGTACAGGCTAGATGAATGTCTATTAGTAAAGGTTTATGCATAGCCAGTCCTGCTTGTGGTTAAGACGGTCCCTTCCAGTGCTGATTTTTAGGATTTTATTAGGGCATATGTATTCTTGGAAGCGCAGGGAGGACAGAGCCACTCTGAGTAGGCTGAACGTGGCACAGGCCAAACCCAGCATCTGCGTGGGCACGCTGGCTGGGGTGCAGGCACTTTCACCTCAGCGCTGGGCATAGTAGCCTGTTCTCCATCTGATTTTATTACTGTTATTAATGAAAACTGCAACCGTGCCCAGGAAAAACACTGTTAATGCTTTATATTTGGGAATATTTAGTAGTGCCAAATGTAACGGGAGTTTACAGCCCCAGCATCACCTACGAAACCCAAACTAGCCCCCAGGCTGGCAGTGTTTGAAGGCCAGGGCTGTGTTTTTCTTCCACGCTTGTGCAAGTCCCTGCACTGTTCGACCCTGGTTGGTGCTGGGGGTCCTCGCACTGCCATTCCCCACCACTTGGAGAGTTAAAATCAACACAGTTGTGAAATAAGTAGGAAAGAAAGGATGCCTGCTATTCAGAAGGTGACAAGCACAAGGGAGGAAGTGCTTGGCACCGTTACAATCGTGTTTTTTGGTCTGGGGGGCTCTGGCGTGACATACAGCAGCTTGTTTAGTCTCATTTGGTGCTTTTCTGTGCCTTGGCACTCTGTCACTTCTACGCCCAGTGCTACACATGTGCTGTGTATACTTTGTATAGCAGATGGTTTCACTTGGTTTATCATCTATTAGTTCATTTCAATTGTTTGGAAAAATCATCCTACCCAGAGATGTCTGCTAGTCATTAGTGCGAGTCAATAATGAATTTGGGGTTTAATTATTTTGTGCTGTATATATGGAAGCACAGCGTATTGCTGGCAACTCAGACAAAACACTTAGGTTTGGTTTAGTTGTATTTTGTCTGGAGCAGGGACTGTATATTTCTGCTGTGCCCCAGCATACAGTCACTGGAGGGTCACAGTGACAACCACATGGATGCTGGATGATGTTTCCTGTGCAATGCTCACAGAAACTGCCACTTGCTTTGACGTAAAACCCAACCTTCAGTGGGGTCCACCTGAGCTGTTTTGGAGGCTGGATGCTGCTGCAGCTCCTGTCTTCTCCCAGCAAATGGTCCCATGGTGCTGCACTCATGGCTGGGGGCTGCCCATCACCCCCTGGCCCTGCCACCAGCCTGGTGCCAGGGGCAGGGATGGGGGTAGGACCCTGTTTCTCTCTGGTGTCCATTCCCTGGGCTGCAGCTCCACTGCCATGCAGCAGTGAAATCAGAAGCAGATTCACCCTCCTTTGGGTTTCAAACACGGACTTCAGACAGACTTCTGGGATTTCACTGAGAAGCCCGGCCAGCAACTTACCATACCCTAATCTTCACATTGCTATTATTAAGAGTGATGATGGTTTTGTAACAATGTGTTCTTTGCTAGAAGGGTTATATCAGGCTTTGAACAATTATTGTTTTATTTTAATTAACTTTTCTTCATGATATACTTTCTGACCAGATTTGGCAGTTAGCCTCACAGTGTTTCACAGCATTTTGCTTAGGAAACATTGCTATCAGCATTTAAAAATTTGAGGGAGAAAACAGCAAAGAGTTTTTAGGTAATTTAATGTTTCTGTGAGGAGAATTCTTAGATTCTGCAAACTGGGAAAGTGCCCCTTGCTTAAAATCCAACTTTAAGAAATAGTCTAACTCACGTAAAGCTGTAATTAGCAATTAGAATTTTACTGTAATTCTTCGCTTATGTGTCATTGAATGTTTTATTTCTTCCATCCTCAAAACCGATGTAATTTGACTTTATTACTCGTCGGAGAGGTGAAGTGTTTCCTGTGTTAGGATCATCCAGCTAACTGACTGCCATTGGTGTTTTCCTAACCACGCTTTTCTCTCCCCAGACTATGATGTCTGTGCCGAAGCGCCTTGCGAACAGCAGTGCACAGATAACTTCGGTCGAGTCCTGTGCACTTGCTACCCTGGGTACCGCTACGACCGGGAGAGGCACAGGAACAGAGAGAAACCTTATTGCCTGGGTGGGTAGAAGCACACCTTGAGCTCACCTCTGGTCAATCCTGCTCCCTCGGGTCTTTTAGGAGTCGGTTTAGATCTGAAGTTTTTCTTTCTTTCTCTTTACTGTTAGAGAATAATGTGGTGTTTAACTCTGTGAGGGATCGGTTCCCAGAACTAAGAGATCTAAATCCCCCTGGAAGTATTAGGAGGTAGTACCTAAACCAAGACATACGCACCCAAACACTTTGAAGTCTTAGGCTGATGTAATTTTCTCTTTATTAATTCCTCCTGCAGGTTTTGAGTCATATCCGGGATTTTGGCCTGAGATGAGTGACACGGCTCTAACAGTAACTAACTCTTGAAGCACTATAACCGTGCCTAATTATGAAAATAAATCCTTGGGTTTTGACTCAGATGGCCAGTATCTGACTCAGGATTGATCACTTACATGTGGTGCTTGTGTGGCTAGTCCCCCCCACCCGATTCCACTGTCCAGCCCTGTGTGGTTTGCTGTGCCAGGGAGCCAGGATTTGCAGGGTAGAGCTTTGCTTGGAAGCTTTTCAGTGCAAAGGAACAGTCACCTGGTGTTCACTGATAACATGCCAGGCGTGTTAATAGTAACAGTGCAGTTTGCACAGAGCTCCAGCCCAAAGCTGTGCTGCAGGTACTCATTTATTTAACCACAAAATCTCCTGGTACCTTTCAAGGATGTCTTTTATTGTATTTGAGGTCTGAAACCTCCAGCTGCGGGACATTTTCAGCTCTTGCTCCTCTCCAGATATCGACGAGTGTGCCACCAGCAACGGGACGCTGTGCTCCCAGATCTGTGTCAACACCATGGGCAGCTACAGGTGTGAGTGTCACGAAGGCTACACCCGGGAGGCGGACGGCAAGACGTGCACCAAAGGAGATAAAGGTATATGCTGGTGGGGGTGTGCAGGTCCTGGGCCAAAGTGCTGTCTAAAATGTTGGTCTGTTGTAACGAGGAGCTGCTCCCTATGCTACACTTGAGGCTGAGGGTCTGGCGGTGGGATGTAGGTGATGCCCCTGGAGACCCCAAGTTGTTGACTGGGGGCCCAAGCGCCAGTGGGGGAATCCTACCTCATGCTCTCCTCCTCTCCGGTTTGTGAGCTGCACATATGTGTCAGTAAATCAGTAGTCACATCTATAAAGAAAGAGCATAAGTACATTGAAGGATGTGGAAAGCATCTTCCCCTGGATAGGCAGAATGGCTGGTTGGTGAAACTTGCTGTTACAGCTGAGGTTAGACCATTTCTCCTTGAGCCAACTGCTAAAAACCATATTTTCCTCCCATACCAACCTGGATTATACCTACTTTGGAGTCCAGAGCTCAGGAGATATAGGGAAAAAAATACCAGATGCTGACCCTTATATACCTTCATTAATTTCATCTGTTAATTAAATTAATTTCAGTGAGTTTAATTTGTATTTACATGCCGACATCTGAGATTAGCAAATGGCCCTGGGTTGGGTGGTTGGTGCCTCTGGGCACTCAGAGGCTCAGAAAAGGTATGCCTGGGAATTCCACACACCTTCCAAGCATTGCTTAAATCAATTGCTAAATTATGTTGAGTAACACTGAATTCTGCTGATTTGCAATTAGTTTGTGTGTCTCATGACTGCGGTCAGATTGTTTTCTTTTTCTTAATGAAAGTAATAGGTGATGGGAAAGGGGTAAAAGTGAGGGCTTGTTCTCGCTTTTCACTGTCGGTTTCAAAGTACGTATATGTGCTGTGTATAAATGATTTTAAAGTTTTTGACCTCATCCCAGTTATTAAATTACAGCATTTAGAGTACTGCAGATTAAATACTGATACAACAATTAACAAAAAAAAAAAAACAACAACAACAACCTGTGCTCTGGAAAAAACCCTCTTTTGTTGAATGGTGACTTACCATAGGTTCGTCAACTAATGCCTGAACACATTTATCATTGGGTGATCTAAATCCCACTGGATGGCCAGAACAATTTATAATTTTGATTTTCCTCTGAAAATGTGTAACTGGAGCCACGCCATTAACTTTAATTGTTCCTTGTAGCTTTAAAATGTTTTTGTTTTTTTTTTTTTCTCTGTAAGTGAGTGGGGATCATAAAGGAATGAGGCATAACCTATATAATCCCTCTGCAAATAGTTTTTTAGTTAACTTTTCCTCCGGCTAATAGAAATTTCCTGAGAGGGTAATGCCCAAAGCATCCAGGACAACCAACCATTCAAAATATTCAAGGCTGTGGAAATAATTCTAGCATTTGAAAAACACTGATTTTACACTGAATGTACACTGCACATGAAAATGTCAGTTCCAGTACTTAATCTAAAATGAAACACCCGCCATCTCTCGTAACATTTCCCAAATTGTCTGTGTAAAGCAGAAAGGACACTTTCTGCTCTGTTACACTGCCATACTCCAAGTTAATGTTACTAATGGCCGGACTTCGGGTGCGAATGAAAGGGAAGTTGGCCATCGCTATTTCACAGGGCTGGTGTCTGTAACTCATCCCAAAGAAAATCACGATTTTCGTCACCCGCGAGGAACCGGCTGTATCAATGCACCACCCTGTGGTCAGCCCCAGCTCTGCACCGCCCCGGAGAGCACTGCATCCACGCTGGAATTCCTGCCTGATAAACAGATTATTTGCTTTTCATGCTAGCTGGAACACTTAAATTTGATTTTAAAATTCGGTGTGAGAGACACGAAAACACATGTATCTCTCTCCGGCTTTAACCATGTTGCATGTTTCCCTGGGGGATTATTATTCACTTTTCCATCATGCCATGCCTGAATCCAGTCACTTTTTTGTCTCTATAAGTGGGCTTGACTGAGAGCTTTGGGTTTGTGAGTGGGGCACAAGAATAGGGAGCATTTTTCCCGCATAGGCAGTCACGTTGCATTTGACGGAGACAATACAGCTACCCGCGCTGAAGTAGGCAAATGAAACCATCTCAGCAGGCTGAGATAATACCCAGATAATACAACACAGATGATCAACTCAACAGTCTCCATGCAAAGACCGCCCGCGGCACGGCTCCCCACAGAGCCCTCCCCCGCCAGCATCTCCTTCTCTTCCAGCATCAGCAAGACAAGAGTCTTCGAGCACATGCAAAGAAAACACACTGCTCCGCTGAGCAGTTCTCTTATCGACAGGCGCCGCGGGGCTCACCGGTGTCTCACCGAGATGAAAGGACCCCCGTCAGGACAGCAACGTCATGAGTGAGCTAGACTTCATGCTTTGGAAAGCCTTCACAAAATGGGGCTGGCTTAAGCCTTTTCCAAAATCATTTCGGTTTCTTGGTGCAGGTCTGTGCAATGGAAACAGGCTTTTCAAGTGCCTTGCTCAATGCTGGCCAAACTGACCCTGGTTAGGTGACCTTCGTATCTGCACTGCACGTGGGTGGCTCCATCTAATTGCTTCCTGCCCCCTCTGGCCTGTCCTAGGTGACTTCTGGCTTTATCCATGGTTTGTTCTGGCTTTATTCATAGTTTGGTCCTGATACAGGATGGGATGGGGGCAGAGCGAATGTTTGATGGATGACTCCTTCCCTGGGCAAATCATCACCTCTGTCTGGTATGAGTTAGGGGGATTCCACCTCCCTCCTGGGACAGAGCTCACGCTCGCTTATGTGACGCTGTTGGACTTCTTCCTCCGACAAGTCAATCCAACTGGATTTGCAGAAATCTCACTGGTATGATATTTCCCAAACATTAGCTGACCACCCCCGCCCCCAGCATTCATGTCCATGGATTGCTACAGCCCTGTTTTATCTACACTTGTCAGCCCCGTGTGCCACATCCTTCTGGAAGATAAATTGGATTTTATAATGAAACGTGAGGTCAAATTCACTGCTTCTTAATCTGCACTTAATTCCACTGATTCTAGTGGGATTGCATTAGGTTTCAAATAGCAGAGGCTCTGGCAGTTTCTCCCTATGACTGTATGTTGCTTTCAGCAATATTTCTTGACACAATGTGTGCATGTTATGAGGGAACTCATTTGGTAAGACAGCTATTAAAAGAAATTTTGCTTAATACTAGCACCAAACCCAAACTTTATTGGAGTTTAAAAAAAAAGAGGCATTTTTTTTCTAATGGCTCTACATATGTGCATCTGTAAATCCTGCACCGGTCCAAAAATGGACATGTCAAAGCACTGATTTTTTTTAAAGGAAACTGAAGAATTGGAGAGGGAGGAAGCGTTCTTTGAGGGAGCCACGATAGTGACTTGTGGTCAAGAGAAAACTTACGTTCTAGAAATATCAAGTGATGTCTTGATTACAGCATATCAATTCCTTGTTAAGGGAAAAAAAAAAAACCCAAAACTGAGTGCTGCAGATTTTTTGATCTATCAGAGAAAGAACTATGGACAAAGAGGCTTTGGAAGATGTCAAAGGCAAAATAATTGGCATTAGAAATAGAGCAGTGAGGAAGGAAACAAGCAGATGCTGCATATTCAGGTATCTCCACAAAAAAGCTGGAATCCTTCTCGAGGTGTTGTAGCCAAATAATCTTGGAGCCAGCATAGCTGGAATTTGTGAAATTCTATTATATGTTATGTAGAGCTCATTGTAAAACCCCAGGTGGCACCTTTTGGCCTTAAACCTTTAAGCCATCTGAACACTGTACAGAAAGCTGCTCAGGTATTACTAAGCTGTGTTCTATCAGAAAAGGACGGGAAGAGCAGCATGCTTATTGCCATGAAAATGATCAATAAAATAATAAAGGAGAATATTGTGGGTTATTGTTTGCAGACAACACCAAGCTGCGTGGTGTTGTGGATACACCAGAGGGATGGGATGTCATCCAAAAGGACCTGGACAGATTGGAGAGGTGGGCCCAGGTGAACCTCATGAGGTTCAACAAGAGCAAATGCAAGGTTCTGCACCTGGGCCGGAACAATCCTCGCCATCAATATAGACTAGGGGATGAGGTATTAGAAAGCAGCCCTGAGGAAAGGGACTTGGGGGTGCTGGTGGATGAGAAGCTGGACATGAGCAGGCAGTGTGCACTTGCAGCCCAGAAGGGCAATCACATCCTGGGCTGCATCAAAAGATGCATTGCTAGCCAGTCCAGAGAGGTGATTCTTTTGCTTTACTCTGCTCTGGTGAGACCTCACCTGGAGTATTGTGTGCAGGTCTGGAGCCCTCAATACAGGAAGGACATGGACCTGATGGAGCAGGTCCAGAGGAGGGCCACGAGGATGATCATAGGGTTAGAGCACCTCTGCTATGAGGACAGGCTGAGGGAGCTGGGGTTGTTCAGCCTGGAGAAGAAAAGGCTCCAGGGAGATCTAATAGTGGCCTTCCAGTAGCTGAAGGGGGCCTGCAGGAAGGCTGGGGAGAGGCTGTTTAGAAAGGCCTGCAGTGACAGGATGAGGGGAAATGGCTTCAAGCTGGAGGGGAGCAGATTTAGATTGGAGATTAGGAGGAAGTTCTTTACTGTGAGGGTGGTGGAGCACTGGAACAGGTTGCCCAGGGAGGTGGTTGAGGCCCCATCCCTGGAGATATTCTAGGTGAGGCTCAATGAGACCCTGGGCAACTTGGTCTAGTTGGGGGTGTCCCTGCTGACTGCGGGGAGGTCAGACTAGATGACCTTTGGAGGTCCCTTCCGGCCTGGACAATTCTATGACTCTACGATTCTGTGATTGTAATGCCAAAGAACTGCAGCTGTGGGAGCAGGCAGTTGATGAGTGGGGAAAATCCCCAATCTTCTGGTCAGCTCAGAGCTAATACCAATGTCTTATTGCTGCTGGTCATTCCAGCATCTTGCCCTTGCAGCCCTCACCTACCTGATTGGCAGACAAGAGAAATAAACCTTTCACAAAATCATAGAATACTGGGTTGGAAGGCATCTCATTGATTCTGGTTGGATCTGGTTGGATCTGGTCCAACCTCTCTTTGCAAAAGCACGGTCTGGACAAGAGGGCCCAGCACCCTGTCTAGACAAATCTTAAAAGTGTCCAATGTTGGGGAATCCAACACTTCCCTGGGGAGATTATTCCAGTTGTTGATTGTTCTCTGTGAAAAATTTTCCCCTTGTGTCTGACTGGAATCTTCCCTGGAGTAACTTGTCTTTTCCATGTGACTCCTTGTAAAAAGGGAGTCTCTATCTTTTTCGTAGCCACCCTTTAAATACTGGAATGTGGTGATAAGGTCTGCCCTAAGCTACCTTTTCTCAAGACTGAACAAACCCAATTCTCTCAGCCTTTCCCCACATGACAGGCTTCTCGGTCCTTTGATCATCTTGGTGGCCCTTCACTGGACCCTCTCCAGCCCATCCACACCTTTTTTGCATAGCGGGGACCAAAACTGAAGACAGTATTCCATGTGTGGCCTGACAAGCACTGAGTAGAGTGGGATAATGACTGCTTTATCTCTGCTGGTGATGCCTTTGTTGATGCAACCCAGCATCCTGTTGGCTTTTTTTTGCCACAGCAGCAGCACACCATTCACTCATATTAAGCTTGTTGTCCACCAGGACGCCCGGGTCCCTTTCCACAGAGCTGCTCCCCAGCCAGGTACATCCCAGCTTGTCCTGAATTGTCTTCTAAAAGCGAGCATACCTGATGTGGCATCATATCCAATGGACTAAAAGTACTGAAAATCAGTTTTTCCTAAATATGCGCAATGGTAGCCCATAGATGACCATCTGATGGGTGCAATGTTCCTTACATTGCACACTTACACCTTACACCTGCAAACATTTAATGTCAAGTACCACATGATATCTTTAGTATTAGAAAGTTCTAGTTTTATTTAAAATTATGCAGGTGTTTTCAAAATTAGTACACATTTCTGAAAAGATGAAGGACATTAACGTGTGTGTCCAAGTGAGAAGTATAATACAGTAGCTGCACACATTGTAGTTGATCCTTTTTGAAGACTGGGGCTTTAACCAGGAGCACCTGCAGAGTTTTTACCTTCTGGGGCATGCTCTGAATGGTCAGTGTTCAAATGTGTCCAATAGCCCTTGCAGGTAACATTGTGCAAGGCCACACATCATATGCAGGGCCTCAATACACTTGATGCTTCTCAACAACTATACGTGAAAGACAAAAACCTCACCTAGAGTTTGCCAGTGTGTGTTATCCTGTGTTTTGGAAACCACATTTCTCTTTAAGCCAACACCTGTTAAAACAGTGCTTGTTTGTTTGCGATGTAAAAGTGATTCACTGCGTATGAGAATGGGAAAAAGGACAAAAAATAACATTTGCGATTTCTCTTACAGTTTGCATCATTTAAAGGATTCCTGAAAATATCCCATTCATGTGTAGTATCAACAGGTGACCCTTTCTCTTGTGTGAATTTAAATCCCTCAATCCCCATCTCTGCTCAGGCCGATTCCATCAGATGGAGGAATAACCAGCGGTGATAAAAAGCAGTTTGTGCGAAGTGAATGAAATGACCATATTGTGAGGGATTTTACTGTAATTTATAGCATATGAAAATTTTCCCTTCAGGGGACTGTAAATCAATTCAAATGTATTGGGTTAGTCTACCCTACACACAAAGATAAAAGAAGGGGTGCAAACTTTTTCAGGTATTAAAAAAAGAAATTCTTTGGGGACTGTTAACTGGAAACAGCTGCTTTAAAAATGATCTCAGAGCTGTCGCTGCGAAGTTTCTCAGGCTTATATAGCAACTCACAGTCAAAGCATTAATAACGGCAAGATTCTCTCCTCCTTTCACAGTCTGGGGAAATATAACAACCTTCCAGTTGCTTTTGCAATCACTTTATTAATTTCTTTGCTTTGAATCTTTATATTTATATTGGGAACTGCTTTCTTTCAGCTGGGCTTCCTGAGAAATCTGAAAATGCGGCAAAATCAGGGACATGCTGTGCCTCTTGTAAGGAATTTCATCAAATAAAGCAGACGGTTTTACAGCTGAAGCAGAAGGTATGAACATTGATCATCATGTCTTTACCAGACCTGCATATTTTGTGACACCTGAGGTTAAATTTCAGTGTTTGGAGCCACTGCCATGTGGCTCTTGTGCCCATAAAGATGATGGCAACATGTTTTAAAATCATCCAGGAATGGCATCTCTCCCTTATGCTTCTGTATTGCTTGTCAGCAGATTGCTAACCAGGCTGGTGGAGCTGTGCTACCAGCCTCATGATAACACAGTCTGGCAAACACCCATCCCAGTCTGAGTCCAGGTTTCTTGGCAACCTGCATTGGCTGCAGCTTTTCATTCATTCTGAATACACAGGATTTTGGACTTGATCCACCTGTAGTGTATGGAAGTGCAAGACATTCTGCAGATGCAGGAACGTGGGAGAACATGATTTTGCATAAATGGGGTGCTGATAACAGGATTCTTGCCAAATAGGAGGTGTGTGGCTAGACAAAAACTTCACTAGCAGATATATTACCGTTGATTTTTTTTAAAAAAGAAAAACCCTCAGACCCAACCTTTTTTGTTTTCACCTGTGTCCTTGCAAGTAGAGAATAATGCGCTTAAATCTTCCACTGGCCTTTAACCTTAATCACTTTGGTATGTGTGGCCCATTCTTGTACTTGAGTAGGATTGAAATAACCCAGAGACCCAGCCCAGGATTTGGAGAGCCAAGTGCAGGGGTGCAGGTGTAACGCCTTTTCTGGTGACATCTCCTTCGAATAGTAAGGCTCTCTGAAATTGAAGTGTTCTGCAGGAATTTTCTCAGCAATGCACATTGACAGGCTGTAATTATTTCACCCAGGCTGCTCATTTAACTTCATTGTGTCAAAACACAATTTGATATATTCACTTGTTGAATTTAATGTTATTCATTCAATGTCATTTATACCAGGAAGAAAGAAATCTGCATCACTAAAATTATATACACCAAGGTTTGAAATACTCTTTACCACAAAAATCTCAAAATGTCATGTTTTCCTTCTGAATCAGCAGGAAGAAAAATGTGGAAGTGACAGAATTATATGGAAATTCTATTTTTCAAACAAATGGTAGCAAAGAGGTTAAAAAGAATGCATGATTTTGAGTAGCTGTTTGTCCAGCCATGGTCTGTGATGCTGAGCAGGCTCACACTGACCCCCAGGAAGGGTTCTGGGGTCATACTGTTGGCCAAGTTGTTTTGCTGCAAGAATTGATGGAAACCAATGGCCTGAATTAATGGAAAGTTTCCTGTGTCTTAACTTCCACTGTTTGGTGCCTGTGTTCAAAACACAGTCCTGGAAAAATAACACCATCGATACCCGTTGCTGGTATCGATGTGTGGGCACTGGTACAGTCGCTGTGGCCAGACCAAGCAGCTCATTCTTGCCTCACAGCTAAGATGGTCCCTAGCTTAAATTTTTCCCAAGTATCTTCCTAGTGGGACCTGGTCTATTTGGCATCCTCAGGGGGAGCCCGCTGGGTTGTGCCTCCCAGAGGCGGAGCTGGAAGAGATGGTCCCCTGGTACCCCCAGCATTTTTTACCCTACAGAGGGGAGAGCTTTTGTCCATGCTGAGTGGAGATCTGGCCTCATGCTGGTTCTCTGCCCAGGGAGGCATGAACCCTTGTGTTTCACCAGCTGCTCCTTGTGGCCAAGTTCTTCTGAGGAGGACATCTCTCAATATCTGTGGATGAAGCTGTTCTGTTTCGCACAGAAAAATTAATTTCTGTCTGCCAGAGAATGAGTCTTCGGTCTTGTGGTTTAGGCTTTCAGGTTTTGTGAACTTTATGCAAAATTATGTTTAGCAGAAGAGTCTGTGAAGGATCCAATCCAGCAAACCCTATGACTGGGAGCTGGGGTGTGCTTCTGGAAGTGGGAGGTGTGGTTTTGTGCCTCCTTAGGAAAGGACAGAGGTGAACTCAAGTCCTCCTACCTCTAGCGATGGCACCAGTATGTTTCTGGAGAATTGCAACATCCATTCAAGATCCAGGAGAGAGGAGTTCTAGGATCAGGAACGGAAAGTCCCCTTGCATGGTCATCATTGGGTGTACTGTCCCAATATAGTAGGGGGCTGTGGGCAGTCCTCCGTTGATCTCAGACCTTGCTGGAAGGAAGAAAAGTGGAAAGCTGAAAAACTGGGGGACAGATATCCAACATGCTGACACATAGCCAACAATTAAAAAAAAAAAAAAATCAAATAAGCTGGATCTTGTTACACAGATGTGCTTAAACATCTTAATTAGAAAGCCATGTTCCACATCACTCCTGTCAAGCACTGTCAGAGTCATCTAAACCACAGACCTCCTAGAAACTACCCAAAACTCTAGATGCAGCATGCAACACAACATATGGGAGTCTTGTTTCTAGTACTGTCTTCCTCTAAAATTTACCCTTGCTAATATTTGCACACACATGGAAAAAAAAAAATTTTTCCAAGGACCATTAAGATTTGGAGCTGTGGATGGAGAAAGCCAAGGTCAGTCTGGACCAGGATCCTGGTTCAGTTAAAAGGTGAAATAGAAATTAGGCCAGTGAGTATAGCCAATCCCTAAGAGGATGTGAGTCAACATCAAAAACACATGGTTTGGCTCCAGTATATATAACAACCATTTTCTGGCCAGAAGATATCAAAGAGCAGTGAGCTAGACCAGAGCCCGGGTATTTTGGCACTCCTAGTGTATGCCTCAAGTCCAGCTGACTCAGTGGGGAAGCATGTGTAGATGCTTTCACAGCAGCTATGTGATGATGGTTTTTTTTTAACTTACTAAGTTGTTACAACAGCCTTGCTGGCAGGAACAAGTCAATATTGAAGCAACAGAAAAGAATACACTTCCAAATCCTCTTCATGATGAGTCTTTGCCACTAAATGTGCCTTTTTACTCCAGCCTGGCCATTTGCAATATAACCTGAAGAGTATTCCTGGCAGGGACTATACACTAAGTGACATTTATTTATCAGCTGGCTTAGCAGTAGATCCCCAAAATAGGATCTGGCCAAAAATTTACGTACAAGCTCGAAAGAGGCTATCAATTTATCTGTCACTTAACTGTGGCCACCCCTAAGGAGAAACACTCATTGATGATACTAAAAAGATTCTCACAATTGCCTGAAAAATATAATGCTCTCAGGCAGTCACAGGATTTAACTCTCTCTGTGTCTCCATTTTGTGATGGCAATGTTGGCACTGCAGATCGATTTGTGTCACATAATGGAAGTTTTGCAGCATGATGGTCCTTGCAACCTTCCATTTGTATCCAGCCAGGACCCTGCTCTGGGCAAGGTAGACGCCCCTCCAGGAAATAAAACTTTGCAGTGTGCTGACCAGAGCAGGTCACTGGACCTTCCTTGTGCCGGTCCCTGGCCAATGTGGCTATGAGAGCCCCAGGTACTGGAAATCCCTCTTCAGCCCAGGTGTAAGGTGCTGTGACCCATGGAGTAGCCCTTTATCTTCAGCAGTCCTATGCTTGGGTCTGCGTTGCAATGGCTGGGATGTCAGCTAAGAAAGCTGCAGGCTCACTGGCAAACAAAGCAGATGTTTTCCCTTGGAAAACCAAAGATGAGAGTGCAAAGGACACACTGGTAGGTGTGCTGGATCCTCATTCTCTGCATGAGCTACTCTCATGGTAGTAAGCCCATAAACACCCCATTGGTCTTCAGTGAAGTGTATATTCAATTTGGGCAGATTAATTTTTAATGGATAATTAAATATCTGATGTAATGGATAATGACATTTTAAACTACAGTGTGCAGTTCTCCTTACATTCTCATTTACTTCAGCTTTGTCTCTCTATGCAGAGCAGATCCAGACATCTGTTGGGTTAAACAGTATGGTTACAAGGCCAGATACACAAAGGATTTGGAGCTGTCATTGAAACCTATGAAAAGTTAGGGCCTTGTGCAGCACCTGAGAACTTAAATATCTGAGCAAATATTGCCATGAGAAAGGGCAGCAAATGAATAGGGAAAACTTCAAATAAGGAAAAAGAGGTTTCTTGAGAAGATCCAAGTAGTTATGAGGCAAGTTTTTGACAGCGTGTTGCTGTGTCTCTCCTGAATTTCTCCTCCCCTGCATTTGGATTGACTTTCAGTATTTCCACAGTGACTTGAAAAGTGTACAGCCTTACACAGGCTTCACACAGGAAAATATTTTTTCTGATGATTTCAAGGATATGCTTAAACATTTTATGTTTTCCTGAAGTATTTAAATATACTGTTTGTCCACATGAAAGCTTAACCTAGAATGTAATTTATCCAGCTCAACAATGAAGGTCTTACAGTGATTTTTGCTTTTGGCAGGTTGCTTTGCTACCAAATAATGCTGCTGATCTTAGCAAGCAAATCACTGGTGAAAAGGTGCTTGCATCTAATGCATACATCCCTGGCCCCCCAGGCCAGCCTGGTCAACAAGGCCCTCCAGGTAAGATACAGCCCAGAATGTCCAATGTGGATGTCCAATAGTGCCATGAATAAAAATAATAAGCGTCAATCTTTCAGTGTGGTAGGATTTCAAGTGTTCCATATTCTGATTGTTATTATTATATTTGCATTTGTGCTAAATTAAAAAAACCTTTCAGGTCACTGCCACCTGTCTAACATCATCCATTGTGTCTTAGTTTCTGTGTGTTTCTTGGTGTACAAGCTGGGTTTGTCCTGTATGTGGTAAATGTCTCCCTCTCCCTGGAATAACTGGCCTGTTTCAGTTGTCATTTCCTGTATTTTAACTCTGCCTTAAAAAGCTCTCAATTTCATTTCAGGAATACCTGTTGCTTTAGCTCACTGTCATTACTAGAGCAGAAAATGTGCTTTCAGTTTGCAGGGCTTTGTGCCAACTGATTTATTTTTCCTCATCTGGTTTTGCAAGAATTCATTTATTGGTTTTATGTGTGTTCAAAGGAATCTGAAAAGAAAAGTAAAACTCCACTCACACCTTCTTTGCTAAGGTACACCTTGAAACAATGAGAAAACCAGAGAGTTCCTAAAGCCAGACACCTTGCAAGGTGCAGCCAGTGATGCTAAAAATTTTGCAAACTCTGTTGAACACAGATCTCATTTGGGGTTAATGACAAATCCAAGGAATTTTAGCATTGTGCTGGGTTGTGGGAACATTCTTACAGGGGAATAGAGAATGCTCCTTACGAGGTTTGATTTACTCTCCACTGAGAGAATGCTCCTTACGAGGTTTGATTTACTCTCCACTGAACTGTGTACTGTGTCCAGTTTTGGGCTCCCTACTATAAAAAAGACACTGAGGTGCTGGAGCGGGTCCAGAGAAGGGCAACAAAGATGGTGAGGGGTCTGGAGAATAAGTCTTATGAGGAGAGGCTGAGGGAGCTGGGGTTATTCAGCCTGGAGAAGAGGAGGCTGAGGGGAGACCTTATTGCTCTCTACAACTACCTGAAAGGAGGTTGTAGAGAAGTTGGGGGTTGGTTTCTTCTCCCAAGTCACAGGCAACAGGACAAGAGGAAATGGCCTCAAGTTACACCAGGGTAGGTTCAGGCTGGATATTAGGAAAAAAATTTTCACCGAAAGGGTTATCAGACATTGGAATGGGCTGCCCAGGGAGAGGGTTGAGGCACCATCCCTGGAGGTGTTCAAAAGACGGGTTGATGTAGTGCTGGGAGATATGGTTTAGTGATGGTGTTGCTTTTTGTTTGTTGTGTGGGTGTTTATTTTTGTCAAAATAAGATTGATGGTTGGACAAGATGATCTTTAAGGTCCCTTCCAACCTAGAAGATTCTGTGATTCTGTGTCATCATCCTCCTTCTTCCCTCCTTCCTCTTCCCCTCCACCTCCCTCTCCCATTTATGCCCAGTTTTGCAGCCTTGCTGTGGTTTTTGAGCCTTTATCTCGTTTTCCGGGACGTTTGTGTGAGATACGGTCTCGC